GCCCCCACGCGAGCTTGAGCAAAGGGCTGTGATTGTGAAGAAGTAACTGAAACAGACGGGAGGCCGAGCAGGGAGAGGAGGCCGAGCAGGGAGAGGCTGGTTGTGCAGATGTCTCTGGCCCGGGCTCTGGCTCTGGGGACAGGATTGTCCTCCTGGTACAGGGAGGCATTTTCCACGCGGTGCCTAGCTCTGCTCTCAGGAGGACAGGGAGGGCTGAGCACCCTCCCGCGTCTGCTGTCCGCCAGGTGCCTTGTGCCGCTCCCGCCTTCCTTGCCCTCAGCACCCGCGACCTGCCCGTGGGAACCGGTCCTCGCGGCTGCCAAGAGGCCCCTTTCACCTTTTCCCCTTATTGCGGAAGTAATAGTCTGTTATTTTAGAAATTAGGAACGTGAAGGTAAAAAAGTTGAAATCACTCCTCACGCCCTGAGTGGGAGGCGTGCTGGTCCCCACGCTGTGACCGTGTGCGGGGCAGGTGCGGCGCGGGTGCCTCCTGGTGCTCGTGCGCCCACTCCCGCGACCCAGCTCGTGGGCTCGTTCCAGTTTCCCTTGTTCTAGGCTGGACTGACGAAGGCTGTCTTTCTGCACGAAGCATTTCCTGAGGTGGGTTTTCCCTCAGCAGCTTCTGCGGAGCGGAGCTAGGCTGGTCGGGTCGCGAGCGTGTGCTCGGCTGTTCACCGCGTTGCCAAATCCTGCACGTTTAACCTGAACTGTCCCGTCTAACCCCTGGCGATCTGGGGGCTTGCTGGGGCCTGTCAGGGGGGAAATGTGCCCTGAGAGGGGTGGGGGGGGACCACGTGTGGAATTGGTCGCGTAGCTGTGCTCGGATCCGTTCATCGATGTGTTCCCCTGCCTGCCTGTGGGTGCTGGGGACGGCCGGGAGCGGGGGGCGGACCGGCTAAGCAAAGACGTGGCGGAGTGGCGGGTAGGAAGAGGAAGGAAGCTGGGCAAGGGAGTGGACAGGATGGGGGGCTCTGAGGAGGTGACCCTTGCCTCAGCCCTGGAGTCCAGTGGAGGCAGCCGGGAGGATCGGAGGGGGAGAGCTCCAGGCAGGGGAGGGGCCCCAGCACGGTTGCCTTCAGCGCTTGCCCCTTGCCAGCTGCCTGAGTTTCCTGGGCATCACCGTAGCCCTGTGCCGGGCACCTGTGTGCGGAGTGGGTCCTGGCCGCTGTTCAGGTGCTGCCGGGGACCCTCAGAGCTGGCCCCGCCTGCTTCCTGAGCTTGGTCTGCCCCCCTGGTGGCGGGGCCTCTCCACGAGGCAGGGCTCTGGTGTTGGGAGCAGCTCCTGGGCCTGTGGGGGTCAGGTGACGGGGTGGGGCAGGGAGAAAGTGCCCGCCGGCCCTGCCCCTGCATCCTCGTGGGTACTGTGGGACTCGCCTCCTCCCTTAGGCTGCAGTAAGGATCGTGTCCTACAGCAGGCGTGGAGCTGCGTGCTATGAGCCGGGTCTGCAGAGGAGAATCCTGCAGTTAGGTGGGCCGGATGCCACTGCTCCCATTGCACAGAGGGAGAAGCTGAGGTGGGCAGGGATGGAAAGCCTGGGGGGGCTGTGGTGCTGCCAGGACGGCTCAGGGGAAACCCCCCGACCCTGGGGACTGTCCCCATGCCAGTGCCTTCCCCTTTAGTTACTTGCACAGGATGCTCTCAGGGCCTCCGGGGGGCACAGCTGCTGGGACCCGAGCTGGTGGAAGCTGACCTCAAGCCTCTCGGGGCCTCTGTTTTCTCAGGGGTGAAGCTGACGGGCACGTACTGCGCCCACCGCCAACCCTGGGGTCCCGCCAGGGCCTGGGCGCCCTCCTCCACCCCCACTGTGGACTCTGGCCGGAGCTTATCCACTCCATGGCGAAAGTCTCCCGCTCCGCCCACGAGCGCTTGTCCCAGCCCCCCCCAAGCACCACCCCCTTTCTCAGTGGCCCAAGCGGGCAGTTCACGGGCAGGCTGTGCCTGCTTGGTGCCCTGGCCCTGCCAGGCTGCTCCTCAGGCCTCCTCGCCCTGCAGACAGGCTGGGCTGCCCTTTCTGTCGCACCCCGAGTCTTTACAGGGGCCTCGTGGTGGTTTATTGAATGTCGGGATGACAGAGCCGGCAGGAGCTGGGGCTCCTCGGCCACAGCTGTGTGACCTGGGCCGGCGACTTCTCCTGTCTGTGCCTTGACTTGTTGCTGTTCAGGGTGTGTTTGCAGGTAACACGCAGAGCTGTGTCCGGCCGGGAGAACGTGCCCGGCACGGTGTCTGACCCTGATGGGTGGGTCTGGTCTGTCGAGTTCACGCGGCCCCGGGCTCCCAGGGGAGCTCGAGGTAGGTGCTCAAAATGCGCAGGACGATTGCGTGTCCGTGAGCGCCGTGGGGCAGGGCTGGTACCTCCTGGGCGCCCGTGTCTCCTGGCCTCGCAGGCGCTCAGTGGAGGAGGGCACGAGAGTGTGCACGTCCCGCGCAGGGATCTGGGTAGCACGTCCCGTGCAGCCGTTCTGTCTCTGTTGGAAGGGGGGGGGCACCAGGGTTGAGATCCTGGGCGGCAGCAGGGTGGTTTTGGGTGTAGACTTGGGGTCCTGACGGTGTGTCCAACTGTGGCCACCCCTCGCTGAGAGAGCTTGGGCCTCAGTTTCCTCATCTGCGTAGTGCGGACAACAGTCGTACCTACCCAGAGGGCTATGGTTTGTAAACCATTCAGAGCAGGGCCTGGACCCGTGAAGTGGGGCGTCCAGGTGTTGCCTGAGTGAACCACGTGGCACATGTGTGCATGTTCTCTGTGTCCCGTCAGACAGCTCGGGACGCAGGGGTTCCTGAGGGCCAGGTTTACACGCCCACAGTGGGATGGGCTCCCCTCGGCGCCTGCATGGTGGGGCGCCCCTCATCACTGGGGGCTCCAGGAGCGTGGATCAGGCGGGTCGTGCTGAGGAGGTGTAGAAGCACCCGCTGCTGGCAAATGCAGGCCTGGGGGTCCCGGCTGACGTTGGGGGGAAACAGAGGACGTAGAATGAGATTTCTTTCGCGCTGAGTGTGCTCAGGCGAGGGGGACCCGCCCGGCTTCCTCTGCTGCTGTTCGGGTTGTTGGTGCCAGACGCAGCGAGGGAGGAGGGCACACCAGGGAACGGGGCGGACGGGCGCTGACCCAGGCGCCGGGCAGGCCCAGCCCGCTCCGCTCTGCGCTGCCTGGGCGCCCAGGCCGGGGCAGGAAGGGGCAGCTGGGATGTCTGCACCACAGCGGGGCGTGGGCAAGAGCCTGACTGTGCGGCCCGCTCGAGGGTGGGGGCTTGGGCAGGGAACTTCACAGGGTTGCGTGGGGTTCAGTGTGGTCCCTGGAGCAGTTCTGCCCCAGGGGAGATGAAGGCGAGTGTCCACACAAATACATGTGTGACGCCAGGGCCAGGCAGGGTCATTCACGAGAGCCTGAAGGTGGAGAAGCCCCCACATCCTGCAGTGACGGATGGAAGGAATGGGGACTATTGCTCAGCCGTGAAGAGGAATGTGCTCCAGTGAACCTGGAAAACGCCATGCGAAGTGGAAGAAGCCAGACACAGAGACAAAATCGTCCCTTCGTGTGAAATGTGCAGATAGGCACATCCGTACAGATGAAACGGTTACGCGGCTGTGTGGCTGGCGGAGGGGCATCCGGAGTGCCTGCTGATGGGTCTGGGGTCTTTTGGGGGTGGTTCTACATTTGATTGTGGTGATGGTTGCAAATCTGTGAATATATTGAAAATAATTTTTTTGAAAAAAACAGAACTGGAGCTTGCCAGTAAAAATCATTTCATCATACACTTCAAAGGGAGGAATTGTGCAGTAGGAGAATTATATCTCAGTAAAGCTGTTTTAACAAAACAGTGTGGGCCAGGGCTGGCTCTGGCGGGCTGTGCTCCAGGAGGGCTTCTGCACGGCCCCGGCCGGGTCTTCCCCCGAGAAGCCTGGGAGGTGGCCGCCCCTGCCTCCTGTGGGTCCAGGGGATTCAGTGAGCCGCCCCCCAAATCCCTGTTACTGGAGGTGGGATTTTCTCTCTTTTTTTTGGAATTTTTTTTAAGACTGGTCGAGCGAGGCAGTGGGAGTGGAGAAGGAGCGAAGAGAGCGTAGCTGGTTGTGATCAGTTACTTGTAAACACCACTGCACTTGCAGCCCTGGAGATTGTTTTTAATTGCCTTTATTTGGCTGTAGAAGTTGGCAGCCCTATGTCCACCCCACAGTTTCACTGAGACGTCCCTGGTTTGTGAAATCCCAGCGTTTGGAAGCCAGGGGAGGGGACGTTTGCCCTGGCTCCGCCTGGTGGCCCTGTGGTTCCTTGCTTCCATGGGACGATCTGAGTCCCCTTGGCCCCTACGTGCCAGGTTGTCTGGCCACCATCTGAGCAGAGCTGCCCATGAAGGCCACTGGCTTTCTTGTCCCAGGGCCCCGACGCGGCTGGCCTTTGAGCCTGCCTCACGGCGTTTTAAAAGAGAAATCAGAGCGCGAACTCCTCAGATGACACACGCGCTCGCCAAAGGCCCTGCTGCCCGTGTTAGCCAAGCACAGGCTTGGGCACGGGCTGTGCTGTCCTGTTACGTGGAAAGGCTGTACAAGGGGCCTGGCTCGTGGGGCCCTCCGTGCGTGTCAGGGCTGCGCTGCTTCCGCTCAGGAGTCGGTTATCTGCCGGGGTGTGGGGGCTTCGTTACAATTCAGGATCCCCCCCCCCATGTGGCAGGAGCTGCATGTTCACGCCTTCTCGCTTACACTGGGTGGTGAGGGGGCTGTCCTCCGTCTCGTTGACGAGGACACTGAGGCAGGGAGGTGGAGTTGCTCACCCCGGTCCCGCTGGCGGGTGGTGGTGCCGGGACCACGGCAGTGGCGGCCGCAGGTTGCAGAGGCCCTTGCGCTCCTCCCCGCGCACCTTCTCCTGGGGAAGGGCCAGGCCGGCTCCAGGCCGCTTCGGGCGAGTGCTGCGCACCATGCCTGCCCCGCATCGCAGCTGCCCCTCTGGGGCTTTTGTCCTGTCTGGCGTCCTTTCAACTCTGTCCTTGTGTCTCATCCCCTCCAACAGGGACCCAGACATGGAGCTGCGGGAAGAGGCCTGGTCTCCAGGGCCACTGGACTCTGAGGACCAGCAGATGGCCAGTCACGAGAACCCAGGTGAGGTGGCCTTGGGGAGTTCTCAGCGGGGCCCACCACCTGCCCTCCCTTCCCTCTTCCTGGGCCGCTGGGACCGCCAGAACCGCCCATCCCTCCCCAACCCCTCCATCCCTCCCGCCCCTGCACTCCTGGCTCTAGAGGGAGGGGCAGGTGTTGTGGCTCCTTCCAGCTGGACCATCCCGGGGACCTCTGGGGCCACCTTCTCTGTCTGATGTCCTCTGTCCTTAAGCCTCCAGCCGCGCAGCACCCCTTCCTCTCCCCACGGCCCTGCCCCAAGTCCTGGACGCTCTGCTCCGATTCCAGGCGGCCCCTTGACTCTCCCTGGCAGGAATCTCCTTACCTGGTCGCGTGTGAGTGGAGGGGCGGGCATGGCCGGGATCCAGGGAGCCCCAGTGCCGCGTCCTCACGTTTCAGTAAAAGCTGGGTGTTTGGGTTTTTGTGTGAAATCTACTTTTTAAACACTGGCAACGAGTTTTTGTTTGTTTAATAAAGCATTATTTGGGTTGAATAAAACTCATTTGTGGGCCTGGGGGGGTTTGTTTGCTGAAACCCCACCCCACCGACACCCTCTGCCATCCCCTCTGTTGAGGCCGAGTCCCTGTGTCCAGGGGCTTACCCGGCAGCGCCGTCTTCGGACGCAGGAAGCAAGGTGTAGACTCGTGTGTTCATGGTGCGTCTGTGTGTCCCGTGCTGGGCATCGCCCTGGCCCTGCTCAGCAGACCTTGTGCGCCGAGGGCCAGAGAGGAAATAGTAATACTTCTGCCATCGTAGCTCAGATGGATGCCGCTGGGTGCCGGGGGACCTGGTTCACAAAGACGGCAGCAGAGTCTGCCGGCCGGGCCAGCGTGTCGCAGTCCCAGAGGAAGATCATGAGGACCTGGGGAAGCTTGGGGTCAGTTTTATAAAGCTCCTTGGCCCCTTTTCCACTTGTTCTTGAGATCCGCAGAAAGGGTGCGAACAAAAGCCCCCTGTGGGCGGAGGAGAAAGTGAGGTTAGGGGATTGTGAGCGCTCTGCCGTCTGCCCCTCGGTGCTTGCTCCCTCCTCGCCCTGTACTGTGTCCTTGGCCTTTTACCGTTTTCAAAAATGAATCTTAGAATTTTTTTCACTGTGGGAATTTAAAATGTATGTAGGTAACGAGTCCCTCTTTCCCCTTCAGCGGTTAGCAACGCTCGCTTTGCCTGGCTAATCTCTGCCTTTTTTTTAATCCTGGAGTGTTTTAAAGAAAATTCCAGCCATCATATTATTTCACCCACAAATGCTCTGACACGCAAGGACTCCGTTTCTAAAAAGACCAAAACTACGTGATGCTGATTTCACCTGACGAAATGTTATTCCTTAACACTCTGGTTCCCAATCCCTGTTAAAATATTCCCAGTTGTCTCCAAAACGAATGTCTGAGTAAGTTAATTTTTAATTTTAATCATCCATAACTTCATTCTCTTCACAAAAGGTAGGTGTCAGGGTCCCTTTGTCCCGCCTGCCATCCCTGCCGGGTCTCCCGCGCCGCACTCCCGGAATCTGGGACGTGTCCCCCCGCGGGCGGCGCTTCCTCCCCCGTGGGGCGTGTGCTGCGGGGTCCTGCCGCCCGCGCCGTCTCCCTGCGGCTGTTGTGAGGGACAGAGACGACTCTCGCCCTGAAACCCCGTCGGGACGCGCCGGGTGGGGTGGGGGCAGCGGCCTGGCTCAACCACGCGGTCCGTTTTCCTCTGCTTGTCTCTGAGGGACGGGCCGGGACAGGCACGTGGAGGGCTCGGCTCCTTTCCCAGCAAGTCCAGGGCCTGGGCCCCGCCCGCACAGCTCTCAGCGCCGTGGGCGGAGCAAAGTCCAGCTCCGCTGGGCTCTCAGGTCCTGGGACGGAGGGAGCAGCTGGCGACTGCACCGCGTATGCGTGCGTGGAGAGCCCCGCGGGCAAGGTTGTGGCGGCGGAGAGAGCGGGCAGGCGTGGCGGTCCTGGTCCTGCTCCAGTCCAGGTCGACCCAGGGCCCCTGGCCCGGGATCCCCAGACCCGGCGGAGCAGAGAGGGGCGACGGGCGAGGCGCCGCGGGGTGGGGCGGCGGGACGTCCGCGGCTAGTGCCCCAGTCACCAGGTGCTGGTCCAAGCGCCAAGGAGAGGGGTCACCCTGGCCGAGTGGCGCAATGGGCATAGAGGCCTCCGTGTGGACGCCTTTCGCACCGGCAGGAGCTCACCCCGGAGTCTCCCTTGACTCCTGACTTCTCCGTGCATCCGTTACCTGCTCTCCAGACACCTGCAGAGTGGGGACACTTCTCCCCGCCGCGGCCCTGCGCCTTGCGCCAGGATCTACACTGACCTGCACAATGGTCTCTGCATCCACCTCTGTCCCCCGCCCAGGCCTCTGGGCCCGGAGGAGAGATCACGGCGCTGCGCTCCGAGCGGTCATGCGTGTCCTGGCTGGCTGGAGCAAAGCCCAGGTCCTGACCTTGCCTGGCCCTGCGCCCTGCCTCTCACTGGTCTTGGCCTCCCCAGCCCACGGCCCTGCCTGGGCATTCTTCCCCAGATAGTGTGTGTGACTCGCTCCGTCCCCTACATCCAGAGCTCTGCTCAGTGTCCCGTTGTCACCACCTCTGTGTGTTGCAGCTGGAGATTAGCGTACCTGTCCCTAGCCTTCTTAGAGCTCGCTTCCCCCGGAGCTCAGTCCGCTCTGCAGACTGTCTAACCAGAGGGTCCCATCTCAGGGGCCAGGGAGGGCTTTGCTGAGGAGGGGGCTTTGGGCTGCAGCTGGAGGAGACGTGGCAGTGTGGCCGAGGGCCTGGGAGGCCGTTGTGCAGTGGGGATGTTCTCTCTGCCCAGAACAGAAACCCAGACCCGGTGGCTTAAACCAGAAGGACGTTTAATGGTCTTGGGCAGCCAGCCTGTAAGTGGGGCGGATCAGGAGTGGTTAATTCCACCTCTCCGTGAGCCACTGGGCTCTGGCTACCCTCTCTGTGACGTCCTGGCCACACTCCTGAGAGGGCGCCCCCGCCCCAGGTGTCACGTCCTCCCAGGAAGCTGCCTGGCTGTGTCTCGCTGTGCCACATCTCAGGGGCCGCCCTGTCCTCAGGTGGTGTCATCCTGTGGCAATGGGTTGCCTGTCTCGGGGCATCTCGTTTTCGGTGAGGGAGCAGCGTGGTTTTGTGAAGGCGGCAGCTCAGGCGTCACCACGACTGGCCCAGAGGAACCCCGGCCAGCCCACGCTGGGGGTTTCTGGCGAGGAAGGAAGGAGGAAGATGGCGCCCGGTAGTGTCTCCCGCTCGGAGAAGGCACACCAGGGGCTTCCGGTGGCTGTGATGGGCAGGCGTGGCCTGGACCCCTCCACATTTTCCTTCCCTGGAGGGCGGCCAGGCCACCCCTGGGCCATGGCGTTGCCTCAGTGTCCCTGGAGACCCTGGGTCAGGTGGGTGGCCTTGGGTGCTGACGAGGGGATGCGCTTGCCGGCCCCAGCAGGCCAGGCTTCGGCTGAAGAGGTTGCCCGAACAAGTTTCCATGCTCCTCCGCCCCCCAGACCACAAAATCCCCAACACTCGAACCTCCCCACCCAGCACTTACTGCTACGAGGTGTGGCCGCTGCTGATGACAGGAAGGCCCGAGAGACCTGGCGCAGCGGGACACTGCCACCCAGCGCAAGTGGCTTTGCCCCTGGGGACTCGGCTTCCTCTGTTGGCTAACCTGGCTCTGGGCACCTCACCTCGGTGCCTCAGACCTTGGCGTCGAGGCCCGGAGCAGCTCGTGCGGACGCCTGCTGCGCCTGCGCACACGGCCACAGCCACGTTTGTTTCTGGGGGACTGAAATGAAAGCTTCGCAGAACAATTCTCGACGTCCTAGCAGCACGTGCTGGTGTTTCCTTTCCTCCTCGTCCTGCCCTCCTTTCCACTTCTTTAAACGCTGACCACCATCCATGAGGTCGATTTGACCACCCACCGGCGAACCGCGTCCCACAGGTGGGAACGTGCGTGCTGGGCGCTGGGCGTCCAGGTGCCAGGCACAGTGCCTCTCAGGTGGCTGCTCAGCGAATAAGTGGATATGAGATTTAAAAGAACTAAGAAGTCAGTTTTCTTTCCATTTAGCTTGATTTACCGAGAGCGCTTGCGAAACCTTGCAAATTTTAGAATTTTTTTTCTGTGTTTGAATATTTCTTTTTAAAAGTTTTTTTAACATCTGGTAATCAATTTATTAGAGCAGTTGACTCAAGCGTCTGCAGTGGTTTGACTTCAGCCTCAACTCGGCTCAGTACTGAGGGAGATGATCCACTTACCAGTCTCAGGAGGACGTGCAGGTTCCCAGCAGGAAGTGACCCTGTGTCCTTGGAACCTCCACCGCGAGGGTTTTTCTTGCAGTGATTCTCAGAGTTTCTTGGGCGTTCGAGCTGGGCCTTCTACTCTGAGATCCTGTCCTCTATGTCTGAGTGGGCATGCACACCCCAGCGATTCTGCGGTGCAGCTGTGATTCTAGCTCGCTGAATCGCCACCTCGGCTCCCTGCGTGATTTTCCGGTATCTTTGAAAGCCATGGCTGCGGCGTGGCCTCTGGGCGGCCTTGCGAGTGGGGGCGGACCAGAGCTCCGTGGCACCAGCCACTGCATCTTCCTCAAAAAGCTGTGTTCACGTATTTTTGGGAAGTGTGTTCAGATCCTCTGAGCTGATCCTGTCGTGAATGACAGGCGGCACTGCGTAAGCACCTCCTGTATGCCCAGTCAGCACCAGCCTCCGTAGGTGGGTTACATCCTGGAGTTCGCACCAAAACCATGCGGTCTGGCTGATCAGCCCCCGCTGGAACCGTTGAGAAGGGTTCGGGGCAGGGGGCACAAGGGTGGGGTGCACACTCGCAGTCTGAGACCCGAGTCTGCACCTCGCTGCCGGACGGATGCTCCCGGGCCGGGCAACTTCTGACCTGCCTCTTGGGCCTTTTCTCCTCTGACCCTGGCTCAGAGTTCCCGATGTGGAGTGGACAAGAGGGGTGGGGCTGGGCGGCGGCAGGGGAGAGCCCCCCAGGCTGGCCTGGGCC